AAAAGGGGGGGGGGGGGGGGGGCAGATGATCTTATGATCTTTTTCTAAAGAAGAAGCAAGAATAATAAGAATAATAAGAATAAAGCACAGGATTCGATTATCTAATGCGGGGAACATTGATCTTGTGTGTGGGTGGGGGTTTATTTCATTAGTTTATTTTCTGCTTCTTTCTTCTTTTCCTCCTATGAAATCCAGCCGAGCTGCATTTAAGAGCAGCAGCAGCAAGATCTATTATAAGAATAGACACAGATATATAGATATATAGATATAGATATAAGTATTAACAGTAATACGTAGAAAATAATTATAAGGATAATAAGAGGTGAATTCAAAGAAAACTCTTCTTTACCCAGACTGTGGCTCTGGGGTAGCTGGTTTGGTAATGCGAGTACAAACACCTCCTCTAATAGAAACAGGAACACCCCCGAGGTCTCCGCGAGGACGCCCGCTGTGCTTGTACTTAGTAGAGTTAGAAGCCTTTTTAATCTTTGGATGTACACCGGCTATATTGATATAAAAATACATTAGTAGACATCATTGAGATGTGCTCCAAAAAAAAATAGTGGAGCATAGTAGAACAGAGCAAACCAAAGAAGATAGAAACAAAGGTCTTACGTTGAGAGCCACTGGAAGAACCGCACAAGGACAAAGATCTGGATATCTTATTTGGAGTAGAGCTTGATCCGCTTCCAGTGCTCATGGTAAGTCAAGTGGATTTTTTTTAAAAAAAAAAAGTAGACAGAGTGAATGGTACTAAATAGATTAGCATTTTCTATAAAAAAAACATATTTATAGTATTTTTTTTTCTATTAAAAAAAATAATTGATTTCTTGCTTTTGGTGTCTTGACTATAGATAAGCAGCTTAATACATATATGGCTGTACACTATATGGAGGCCTAGCCCTTCTTTTCCTCTTCTTATTTTATTTAATCTATATATAAAAAAAATAACCATTGTCTTGATCTTCACAGTCTCATGATAGTTTTAATATAGTAGCAGAATACAATCAGCATACTAAATAAGCTTTATTTTTCTATTTTGAATATAATATATAAATACGTGTTTTTTGCGATAATAATGATCAGTGAGAACATTCGTTCTGGTAAATGTGTGATAATTTGATGCATTACTTGGAGCAACATCTTCTTTTCTTGCTGAATTTGGCTATTGTTTTGATCTTATCGATCCAGACTACCAAAGACAACATTATATGATGTTATATTATATTAAGCATCAAATTTAAGGTTGTCACATAGCCTATTCTTTATGCTACTATTTTTTTTTCTGCGTTATCTATAGTAAATTGACTGTTTACTGGACCAGATAAAAAAGGGTAATGGTTTGCAGTATTTGACACACGAAATATATAGCATCAGAATTCTTATTTACAATCCACACTACATAATAGGGTTTTGAGATTCTATTAATCTAATATACCAAAGTAGGCACTCATGATATGTATATAAGCAGTACTTTTCTGTGTCTTATTTTATTCGTCTTTGGTATTTGTTTCAATATAAAAGAAAGTATCTTTTAATTCAATTGATGCCCAAATGACTATACAATATGAAACAAAGGCTTCATTTTTATTACAGAACTCTAATAATAACGAACAGCTACTGTTTTATATATTGTTTTTTCAGTGTGTTAAAAGCAGTCTTATCTCATTGCTCATAATTTACAAAAAATTTAAACATCATTCATATGTAATTTGTGAGTCTTTAAATCTATACCAGTAGATCTTCTTGTTCAAATGTAGAAGCCAGGTCTTTATCCAACTATCTCTTTATTTCTTAATGAAATGGAAATCTGTCTAAAATTGAGACCAGATTAATCATAAAGACATACATATAACAAAAATAAAGTTATTGGGCATTATGGCTACTATGAATCACAAATATCGCTTTAGCTTTAATAGCATCTGCTACTCTGTTTTCCATCTGTGCAATCCTCATGAACAGGTGCAACAAGATCTAAACTTAAGAAAAAGAGAGAAAGAGAGAAAATAAGCAAATACGATTATCCAATATATATATATGTATGTATACTTGCCCTTCCTTTGGAGCTTTGCTGACCTTATCGGGAGCTTTGTGAAAACATCCGTTTTTATACTCTAGGCGTTGACCTCCGGGATGACCTGAAGGACGACTGCTATGCTTCATGTCTTTGGTGCTAATTGGAGGCACAACGTCTTCGGGAAACCCACGAGCTGTATAAATAGATTTGGATATGTGATATGGCATAAAAGAATAGGGTATCTTTAAGAATACTATATAGCACATTTCATCGTGTACTGTGGCACTTACGTGGAACGTGGTAAGGGGGGGAATACAACTTGATCTTTGGTGTATCCGCTCTGGAACTAGAAGCATCATTTCCCCAAAGTGGCATTCTGAAAAGACAGTTCTTTGAATATAGCTACTTGAGTAAATTTTACGGAATAATTATAAATACATATATATATATATATATATGTGTGTGTGTGTGTGTGTGTGTGTGTGTGTATTGCTTTTTAGTTAATATTTATAGTCGTTCAATTTTCTAACGCCTTATTTGTCTTTGTGGATTAACAGAACCAAATGGTTTGTGGCTTATTAGAGAATGCTACATTGGAGATACTTGATCTCCTTTTATTTTTGGATTTAGCAAAGTTATTTCTGTAGGCTGAGCATTGTCTTGATACTCAAATAATGAGAATGAAGCCAATTCAATTCATAAGGACTACACATACACATGTACACAAAAGCCATGGAGACCATATTCTATATCGAGAATTTGTCTGTGATGTTTGCGCTTATTTTGTAGTTAATTAAACTAATTAGTTGCTACATTTTTTGGCTAAAGATGCTCTTTTCTTTTCTTTACATTCATTATTTTGAAAGTATCGATGTCAATTGCAAAAGGCAACATTATATTCCACTAACTACACCATCTTGTGATTGTCAGATAAATCTACAACACTTCATTTTTAGCATCATTACTATTACTAACTATTACGATCTTTGCATTTCATTATACCATCTACACCAAGTTGAAGAACAATTTCTTTTAAAGAATTGTGGTGACACAGCTAAATAGGTGATGTGTTACTTGAGAACAATCCACAATATTCTGAACACATTATTCAAGGTCCTTGTCCTTGCCCTCGGAGCTAAATATATGTTTACCATCATTCTGCATGTGTGTGTGTGTGTGCTTAATTAAACCTCTCGCACACTACGATGGAGAGCAATACTTACGCTACAGATATATATTATACATGTAGATGGACAATTATATCTAAAGACACTCAACTTTTTAATTGACCCATTGTCAAAACACTTTTTTTTTCTAGAAAAAAAAAACTAGAAAACTCTATATAAATACATAATCATAAATTCAAACCTTTTTATTTTCTTTTAATTTAAGCCAGTAAAGGTTAACTTTTTTCTTTGACTCTCGCCATGGGCTTCTTCCCTGTTTTCGACGCTCCCCCGCCTGGGTCTCAGTTTGGAATCCATCATCCTCAACCCAGTCCTTATCCTGGTGCTCCACGTAAAGAACAATAATTTGAAAAGCAAAAAAAAAAAAAATTGGGCAGTTATTCAATATTTGATTTCGACATACATATACAAACCTTCTTTTTATTTAGCTCAACCTGGTCCAATTGATGTGTTTACTGTTGGTTGCGATGGAAGCCCATTTGTTCCTCCTGGTCATGGCGGAGGCGGCGGAGGTGGTGGTGGTGGACCTGGTCCTCGTCCTGATTCTCCACCTTCTTCGCGTGGTGGGTTGTCTATGTCTGTCTCATCTGGTAAATCCAGTAAATCTGGCGGTGGCGGCGGAGGTGGTGGTGGCGGAGGAGGCGGAGGAGGCGGATCAAAGAAGAAGAAAAAGTAAGTCATCTTGACATTTCTTCGAATATCTTTTTCTTTTTCTCTTTCCTTTTTCACCCAAATACATACGAGCCTATGCACTAACCGACTCACTCGACTCTTTCGCAAGGTTTTGCTGTTGCTAGAATCTCTTTGGGTGAAGCAACTGATTAAAAACATCTGTATTGTCCAGTAAATAGAAATATATATATATATATATACGTGTACTACTTTAAGAGCGTAGTATTATGTTATTCAAAATTAATGGATAATATATTTTTGTCCAACAGCTTAACTTTATAAATTGATTATTGTCTTCAAGCATTGCACATGAGCTGCGTTTCAAACAACAACGAAAATCAAAATCAAAATAAACATATACAAAACATATAAAGAGAAAGTTTACTAGTGAAACATGCCTTTGCTATTTAGTGTTAGCTTATGGATGAATTTGTAGTAGTAGCTAGGATTAGTTATTCTTTCTCTGAGAGTCAGAATACTTGACTATGTTTCAGGCGTATATATTCAATAATTTATATATTTATTTTATTTAAAATAAAAGTATATAGTCTACAATTTTTTGCTTGGTTGATGATAGGATAGTTATTTCTCTTGATTAATACTTTGGCTATTATTAAAATACTCTGGGTTGAGTCAACTACTTTGCAATTGTTGCTGCTACTGTAGTAATAATCTCAAGATGATTATATATGTATATACTATAATGAGCTCAGTTTATTATTGATAAATCTGTGGATCAAATAAGTATAAAAATAAGAAAATGTGTTTCATGATTATCAGTCAAGTACTATTTGTTGTCGTTGTCTCTCGTTTTCAAACAATGGATTGTGTTCTTGGTTATTAAATCTAAAAAGTCGGTGAGCGCATGGTCGTCATTTAATAAGCCTTTTGTAGTCAAGCTTCTAAATCAAAAGGAGAGAAACAATATAGAAACAAAGAGACAAGGGGAGAGAGAGAGAGAGAGAGAGATTGGCTATAAATGTTTGCTACAGATCCAATTTTTTTGATCTTCTTTTAACCAAACCTGTCTCGATCAAAAACAAGTCTTTTTGATAATGAAATTTTGGGAAATCATCGATGTTCCTCCTGGCCATGGCCAATTCGTCCCTCCTCCACAACATCATGGTGGTGGCCCTTATTATGGACCTCCACGTAAATATTTTTTGGGATTTCTTCTTATATATATATATTATATTCTACATATTAATGTTATGTATATAGCTGGAGCCGGAGCTGGTCCTCCTCCATCTTTTGGAATGCATGGTCCTCGGGGTCCAGTCAGTATGAGTGAACCTGTTCGTCCTCCAAACCCTGGCCCTGGCGGTGGCGGTGGCGGTGGCGGTGGCGGTGGCGGAGGGGGAGGGGGAGGGGGAGGATCAAAGAAAAAGAAAAAGTAAGTTGTTTAAAAAATGGTCTTTTTCCTTTATTTTATTTTTTGCTAACATTTGGATCTATATAAATAGATGTTGTTGCTTCTAAGCTTTGTCGAGGAACAAGCGCATTTCTGAAAAGATGTACGCTACAAGTAGTACTTCTCTACTTTAGCATTACAAAGCTGTCGAACAACTTTTAATCAATTGAAAAATAATATCTAACCAGAATGACCATTGCTGAAATAGTGAATACTCTATTATATGTTTTCTGCATACAGCCACTTTTGTTGTTTTTTATAGAAATAAATAAACTTGCCCTTTTTAAATTATAATAAAATAAGTGTGTGTGTATGCTTTTATTTAATATATTTCTACCAAGCTATACAAAGTATGTGATCTTTAGTTTCCATTTATGAAATCATTTGACCAGGATAGATTTCTATTATATTCCGGTCTACAGTAAGACACCCTATAAAAGTCGCACAATCAAAGAAAATAAGTCGCATATTTAAGAGTTCTTGCGTTATGAACGAACCTTTTTCTTTAAAAATACAAACTGCACAGAAAAGCACTCTTAGGCTATTAGCCCATTAGACATTCTGATACTATATTTTATCATGTATACTTAATCTTTTAAATGTAAAAAACTTTGAAAAAATTTTATCCCAAAAATGCGCCTTATTTTTTCGAATTATGCGACTTACAAATGTGCTTTACTGTATTTGAAGCTTTGTACTGACTAAAAGCAGTTAAAGAAACTATTTTTAAAAAAAAAATACACGCATTAGATAAATTGAAACACATCTACATATATAAATCTATCCTTATTCTTTACCGAGCTTTTTTGGACGATCCATCTTGTGAATTACTACTGGGTTTAGTTTTCTTGGCAGGATTCTTCTTTGCCATGGAACATAGCTTTGAGACCGAGCCACTTCCACTTGATGAACCACCGGAAGAACCCTTTGGAGACTTTGGTGCACTATCAGCTACAAACACACATATATACATATACATAAATTTATGTAAGAGAAAGGAAGGTATATTTATGCTGTTGATGTTGTGTGTTTTTTTTTCTTTGATAAAAATTAAATAACTCTTCTATGATTATTTTTTTGGTACTATTATCTAATAACCATTGTAGCTTACATTTGGTTCCACACAGCGAACCTGTTCTGGGAAATGTACTTCCTCCCATTTTTGGAGGAGTGATTGGACGGTCGTTGGAAAATAGAGGCATGATAGTGTGCGTAAACTACAATAGATATAAGTGTATATATATATATATATATGTGTGTGTGTGTGTGTGTGTGTGTGTGTGTGTGTGTATTGAATAAACAGAGTTAAGATATCTAGCTGTAAGCCGATACTTATAAAGATGTTCTTTGTTGTCTTACATTTTGGCTTTTGGCTTTATTGTAAAAATAGCCTATATTGGATCATCAAACACTACGATTCTATTTCTACCAAAATACGAACAAAAATACTTAATTTTATTTTGGTCCAAGTCTTTTTTGTTTTGACATCTAAGTAAGCATCAAGAAAGAACTTTTGATATCTCGATTCGAGCTCTGTACTACTTTTGAGCACATTTATATATACATACAATAATCTCATTTCAGTATATACTTGATGTTGTGGTCGAGCAATTTTATTCTTAATGATTATAAAAAATGAACCTTCGTTTGGCCTAAATAGACAGATAGCTTTACAGCACATTTATATAATTATAAATTTACAAACCGATGAGTGGGAACTCTGGTGTTGTCGCTGTTACTCTTGTTGTTCATTACACGTATGATTTCTCATTTTTCTAATATGAGTGTGTTGTCATGGTAAATACAACTGTTAACGGAAACTTTGGCTGTTTTTTTAATTGCAGCAAGTTACTCTCGCACAACTTTATGTATAGACCCAGAGTGCATTTTTTTATAACAATTTTTTGAAAAGAGGACGTTTTTTTTTTTTTAGATTATTATAGTGTAGAAAGAAGGCTTCCTAGCTATTCAGTTAAGACTAAATCAAATACGACATCGTTCTTGAACCCTAATTTTAAGAGCACGACGTTTCCAAGATAAGAGCTAGTCTTTCCTGAACGAATTATCTACATTTAGTCAAACTATAAAACTCCAGGTAAATTAAGCAGAATCATCATTTAACACTAGTACCACTATATCTACATTTTGACACATGAGGCTTGTGGCTGAAATGAATTCATTTATTTCTTACTCTTTAACAGAAGAAGAGGGAAAGAGGGAAATGAATACAAGGGTTGTGTACTTTGGGTTGCTTTAATATTAAAACAGACAAAATAAATAGGGCAAATCTCTACTCCATGTGCACACAAATTGAATTTTTGTTAAAAGCAGTTGAACATGCTAATGAAAGAATAAAGTAAAGGTCAGACAGAAAAACATTAAATACGCACATCAATAGATATATCTATATATTTGTATATCTTACCCTTTCTTTTTAGGTCCGTCTTGTGAGCTGCTGCTAGCTTTGTTTTTACCAAGACATGACTTTGTTTCACCTCCGCATATCTTTGAGGCAGATCCGGATGATCCTGACGGTTTAAAAGCAGGCATTGACTTGGCTTTAAATATTAACAATATATAAGATACAGAGCACAGAATACATTATTCTTCGAATAATTTACTACTACTATTACTAATATAATAATAATAATAATCAATTTAGAATCATTTTAAAATCATACATGGTTTGCATAGTGTTCCAGTTTTAGGAAATACTGATCCTCCAGTGGCTGGAGGAGTGCGTGGCCGTTTGTTGGTGAATGGATTCATGGTGTTTATGTACTTTTATCTTATAATAAATAATATTTATAATTATAATAAAGTACAAGAAGTATATGGAAGAAGTATACTTTATTTCTTTCTCTTTATCTCTGAATTTTTTGCTTGAACTTATATATATGCAGTTTCGTTCTGTTGTCTTATTTACTTGACAATAATATAGTCAAATCAATGACTCTCTTTCTTCATATATATATGTGTGTGTGTGTCTTTATTTCCCTAATATTTATCAGTAAAAAAAAACATGCTCTCACATCTTTGCTAATATACAAAGACACCGCATAGGTATTTTTAGAAAATGCTTATTGTTGCTGTTGCTATAGATATAAATGTCTATTCAAACAAGCTGTAAATTGTATTTCTTTTTTTTTCTCTGACCATTCTTATCTAATAGATATGACTGATTATAGACTGAATTTTATACGTTAATTCGTGTTATTTTATTCTATTATTCTATGGATATATATATATATATTGCAATCATTGTCAAAATGTCGCTTATTTTTGTTTCATTTTTTAACTCGATAAATATTTTCAAGACATAAGAGTTAGATCAGTATTGTTAAATACAAAGAAAACAAAAAAATTCATGGCACTTGATTCGCTTGGAATAATTGTGATCACTATCATAGATTTTGTCTTTCCAGTTACTTTCCGCATTTAAAATATGGTTATTCCTTTTTTAATTTATTTATTTGTTTATTCATTCATTAATTGATCGAGTAATTTTCTTCTTTGTCTTCTTTCCCTTCTTCCTCTCTCTTTCTTGAGACTCTGGCGAAATTTAATCAGGAAAATACTAATGAAAGCTATTTTTGATAAAAGAGGATTATTAATATAACATTAATTTTTTTTCAAGTATATATGTATATACTTACATTTGTGCAAAAAAAGTGGTTTTTTTTCTGGTGATTTGGAAACTATTTGCCAGCTGTGCCTACAATAAATAAATTAAAAGCATTTATATTAACCCAATATATGCCCATTGATGTTTTGAATCACATACGCTTGCGGACAATTTGTCCAGTCGAGGGTTTAGTAGTTCCACCGGTCAATGGGGGAGTAATAGGACGCTTGACAGAAGACATTGCTTTGAGAAAGGTATAGAGAAAGAAGAGTGGTTTTTTTTTCTGTTGTAGAGAAGAATGATGTGTCAAATTTATTTTTTTGAAATTAAATATTTATACTAATTTCACTTTGGTTTAATTCTTTCCAACTCTTGTATTTGATTCATTTTTGCTTTATTTTATTTTTCTAGTTTATGTGTTGTTTTGTTGCTGTAATTCTAGATGTTGTCTGTTATATTGGATTATAGATAAGTAGATAACTAGATTGATTGATAAATATTTTGAGATACATAAAAAACAAATTTTGGGGCTCATAATTATTATTTTGTTTTTTTTTTTGGGTATCTAGTAGTCGATAATTGGTTCCATAGGTGTAGACAAGACAACAAAGTTTTGCGTACCCAAAGAGATGTTAAGGTTTTTTGATATTTAATTGAATTGAATAATAGGTCTATATGTAAAACAGGATTCAAATGGACAACAATATCAGAGTCTGGAACTATATATGCTTGTTTTTTTTTCTTGGGAATTTAATCTTTTACTTTATATAATTATGAGTATGATATATACAGAACCGTAACTAGAATCTCTTTATTTATTTGTCTGTTTTTTTTTCCAATTCAAAATCTTAATAGTAAATTGTGGTCCCCCCTTCCTTCCGGGGGCAATTTAACTTGACTTGTTGTCTGGTTGTTCGCACAGGTCTAGAGCTAATGGAAACCGACTAGGATAACAAGCCAAAGGTAAATGACGATAAAAGTAATATCAACGTAGCAAATTCTGATAGTTGTGCTGCCATTGGTTCTATAGTCGGGATAAATTAAAATATGATTGACACGTTTAATTAATCTGTAAGTATCATAGCTTATAACACAATGTTAGCTTCTAATGATTGCTATATAATCTTTTGGTAAAACCAAATACCCAAACCAAGTATTACGGGATAGCATTATAAAAGGCCAAGAAATAACAAGAGGATCTTTATTAAAGACTCTTGAACCCATTTTTCTGTGGTGGTAGATAACCTGGTATAAGCTGATTGGATTCCAAGTATTAAGGATACTAATTCTATATTCAATTGATAGGCTAAACTAGACAGTCAGGCTCGAAATCAAATAATCACTGTAGTAAATGGCAGACTTTATAACTCCGTATATTTCCTACGTTTACGGCGTTGTAAATTTTACCAATAGGATGTTAGCTGTAAGTAAATTAAAATTATTTACAGCGAATAGTAGAGAGCTTTTTATCTGACTTTATATATTTTATACCAAAAGTAGCAGTCTTCTACTATCTGTGTTTAAATTATTCATCGACTTAGAATAGGGAGACGATGGTTGCAATGAGAGAGAGAAAACAACTATAATGACTTTATTAACATACATTTTTACGAATAATTGGCAAATACAATATCTATATTAATGTTTTCTATATGTATTATGTTTTGTTTTTAAGGTTTTACTGCTATAAATGAAGATTTATGTTATATTTACTTGTATTTGAGCTTATTTTATTAAAACAAACATATCCAAAGAACAACCTAATATGTTTACCACTTAATAATGCGCTTAAGAAAACATATACGTAAGCTCCGTCATAAGTAAGAGTTCTTAGCGGCATGGAGAACATACTAAATTATGTAGCCAAATAGCAGACATAGTTTAACACACGAGTTTACCCTTTTGACAATCGTATACCAACCCTTTAGGACAGCTACTCTTGACAAACAGTTGTGTAGAAGTCCGGATACTCTTGTATTGAGGCAAGCTTATTTTTGGTAGTTTACTCTTTATATTATTTCTTTATCTTTAATGTTATACCATGCAACCTTCTCGCAATCGATTACTTATCTTTTTCATATGGAGATGTGTAATTTTTGAAGATTAACTTCCTTTTACTAGATCTGAGAGTGCTTAATATCATACTTGCTTGTATATAAAAGTGCAGTATGAGAAATAGAAGAATTTTAACGAGAATTTGAAAGACAAATGCTCTTATTTATACTGAACTCTTTGATGTGTTATGTTAACAATTGATATCATGTCCCATATAATGAGTTTTGCAAAGAACTAATTTATATTTATGATTGACATTGTGATACATGTGAGCCAAGAGCCTCCTTATATAGTTTATACCATGGCATTTGAAAAATATCAGGTAGATATGTTTTCAAAAATCCAAAGGATAAGGTTCAGCTTTAGAGGTTTAGATAGTCGTTAAATCTTCAACGGATAGCTTTAAAAAGAAATGAAACATTGGAGTTACAGTGCTCTCACAAATTTGGGAATTCACTTAGCCTACACCTACACCGATGTTTTAACGGATTAGATAGCAAGATCTCTAATATACTGCTTGAGACGATGTTTTTTGTCTGAAATAATTTATTACTTGCGTATTTAAAAAAAAATACTAGCTTTAATATATATAAAAGCCTGGAAAATGGAATACTATAGGAAAAACAAGATGATTCTTACAGGCAGTATTGATAGGAATTATGGAAATAACCATATATGGGTATTTAAAAAAAATTAACCCTTCTTCTTTAGCAGGGGTTAAATTTACGGACTTTAAAGCTAAATGGCCTTTTTGGATTTTGGAAATCACTAGGTGCTCACGGAGTGAAGTGTCAATCGACCAAAAAGTGTCAATCGACCAATTTGGAAGGATCTCAAGCCTAAATATGGTATATAATTTTTAAAGTCCACAAAAAATGTCCCTGCTCTTGACACGTAGGGTACTTGAGGGAGCAGGTGTAACTAATTACAAGTCTACTATGAGGAAGAACGCTCTAGTTGAATAGTGTTTATGGCCGGGTTACTAGCTAGCAAGGGCTGTATTCCCAATTGGAGGCGTGGTAACGAGGGTCAATAAACTACAGTCAAGAGGAAACGTTCTCAAGACAATAGAACTGCACTCAGTATTTAATTAGGGGCGTCAAATAATATTTATGACTAGGCGTATGGGGATGGAATCAGTTGTCAAAATGAATAAAAATGGGAAAGTGTTTTTAACGAGGTAAAAAGGTTACTTTATTGTTCTTCACTAAACTTCCTCTGATAATGGCCTCCTCTGCCAACTTCGTCTATCTACTCTACATCCACTTCAGTCTCCTCTCGCCACTTCTCACTTTTTCCGCAGTGTGGCGGCCACCAACCACCATGCCCACCGTCTCACTCTTGACCAGGGACAAATTATTTTTAAATACCATATATGGTACTTAATTTCTCTTGCTATCAACACGGTGTGTGAGAACCATTTTTATTTCATTACTTTGTCTTGTTCTTCAATCTCTTTTTAATTATGTATGCTAATATATTTTTACTCACAATAGTATTATTGAGATATGGCTTGTTGTAACTTCCGTTAAAAGCCATATTTTACATGTTTTCTCTTAATAACACATGGAAAATAATTATATTTCATTTGTTATATTTTCAAAGAGATATAAGTGTCTTGAGTATAGTATTTTATTATAATACCAACATTTTATCACGTGGACAATGTCTATATTTGTATTTTGTTTCATTTCCAAATTAGTCGATTGACACTTTTTGGTCGATTGACACTTCACTCCGTGAGTACCTACTATATATGGTGTTTAGTATCTATATCAATACACGATTTTATATCAATAAAGCACTCCGAGAGTACCTTGTGTCTCAATTCTCATTTATGTTTGTCCAAAAAAGGTAAGAAAATTGTCTAGAAATTGATTTTCATTCGTCCAAAAAAAAAAGCTAACATCGTCTCAATCTCAAGTAGAAACAGTGTAATCTGATAAGCGATTTTAAAAATGGCGTAATAAAGACATCGTAAGAGTTTCACAGTCTTTCATATGTATATTTTAATTATTATATTATTTATTTTAAATTTTTCCTCCTCTCCTTCCTCTTCCTCTTTTTCTTTTTCTTCTTATTGGCTTTGCTTGGCTCTTAAAGTAGTATAGATTAGAGATATAACAAGAACAATCCTTAGTTTGTAAATTTCTTTTGCGTAAATATATATATATATATATATAGCTTTTTTTTTCTGTCTGTCTATCGACCTCTATTTGATATCATGGAGAGTACACGGTTCGTTGTACTGCGTGGCTCTGAAGCTTGTTATTCTATTGTCCGACAAAGGACAAAGGCTGGTCTATGGTCTTCAGTCCGCTCATTACACAATATTCGACAAGCATCTCTTTCCAACCGAGAAACGCACTTCATTCTCACCAACAACGAAAGTCTCAGACGGACTAGAACCCCTAGATACACACTCTATAAAAGAGAGCTGCGGCTCCATGGTACTCACAACCATAGTCATGGTGGTGCACATGATCATGTTCATGTAGATCTAGGAACAACTATTCGAAATTCTGGTAAGCATATTTATAGACAAATTTACACATAAACATGTATATGATATATTTGCTATTTATTTAATTTAAGCTAATTCTTTTTTAATAAATAAATATTATCGGTGAAAATTAATTCATGTGATAGGCAAACAAGGTGTGCGTATCACAGTGATTGGAATGGCTGCCAACGTTGGATTGACTGTTTCAAAAGGACTGGCTGGTTGGTGAGTTATTTATTATAATTTATAAAGTAAAATAAATACGAGGAAAAAGCAGCAGAAGAATTAGTGCGTATTGTATGTTCGGATAGTCTGTGGAAAGAAAGAAAGAAAGGGTGTATAGTTACTTACCTTATTTTACTTATTGACTATTGTTATCGTGATAATTATTATTATAGGATGATGAATTCGGCTTCGTTATTAGCTGATGCTGCCCACTCGTTTAGCGGTAAATTAACAAACTCGTACAAAGATATTGTATTTTATTTTATAAAAGAGAATATATATTTAAACTAACAATTTACATATAATAAAATTCGTTATTGTTATTGTTATTGTTATCAGATCTTCTTAGTGATTTTGTGACTCTCTACACGTTCAAGATGTCTCGAAAAGAACCGGACGCCATTTACCCTTATGGATATGGTAATATTAGTAATGAGATAAGGGAATCTAAAGAAAGAGAGAAGAGAAGGAAAGAAAAGAAAAGAAAAGAAAAGGAAATGATTTGGTTGATTATTATTAATTATTGATTATTACTATCACAGGCAAGTACGAAACAGTAGGTACCTTGGCTGTGTCTTCGCTTTTGATTGCGGGTGCATTCGGAATCGGAATACATTCTTTTGAGCTGTTGATGGCAGCCTTGAATGTGTCTGGGGTTGATTTGGTAACTCAAGGTGCCTCGGTGGCCGCAACAGCTACAGCCGAGGCAAATTCTGGCACTGATATATTGTCTAACACCACCACTGCCAATGCAAATGTCAATACAAGTACCAACACCAGTAGCTCCCTGAGCCATGGTCATAGTCACGGCCATTTTTATTCGAATGACGGAGTTTTGGATCCGAATGCTGCATGGTTTGCATTGGCAAGTGTTATAACCAAGGAGTGGTTGTACCGTGCAAGTAAGTTTAGTTATCTGTGATCCTTGTTTAGCTTTTTTTTTGTTACTATTATCTTGGGTTGTTTTCTTGCTTTCTTTGTTTCATCCTTTGTTTCTTTCTTTGTGTTGCACAAAAACACAGAAAGCTTAAAAGTATAAAAGTATTAAAGTAGTAGAAATAAAGAAGTATTAGGAGGAAAGAACAAGGAGGGGTAATCAAGTTCTATGATAATGATAACAATAATAAATGTTGCTCTTTCTGTAGCTATCAAGGTTGGTGAAAAAGAACGAAGTGATGTGTTGGTCGCAAATGCTTGGTAAGTTGTGATTATTATATCTTGTTTTATTGGCAAAACAATCAAATGCAAGATGTTTGTTGTTGTTGTTGTGATTACTATTATCATATTTGTCAACTGACGTATATTGTTCGTATATATATATATGTGAATGTGTGTGTTTGTTTTTGGGGGGTTATTATTATTTTAGGCATCATCGATCCGATGCATATTCCAGTGTGGTTGCTTTGGTTGCAATTGGTGGTAGTTGGGCAGGTCTCCCTGTTCTGGATCCACTTGGGGGTTTGTTAGTGGCCGGCATGATCTTTCAGAGCGGCGGGTCACTAATGAGATCCTCATTGAGGGAATTGACAGACAAGGGTATTGGTCCAGCCGAGATCACCGACATATTATCGGCTATCAACAAGGTCAAGGTAAGTCAAATAGATAAATACAAACAAACAAACAAACAAACAAACAAGCAAGCAAGCAAATATAGAATAGAATAAGCCAATGAATGAATAAATACATATAAAATATAAAATCATAAGAAAAAAGAAGAAGATCCCTAATTTTGTACAACCCCAAATGCACACACTACAATACAATCCACACTACAATACAATACAAAATACAAATCAAATCAAATCAAATCAAATCAATAAAGGAACAAGAGCAAGATCTTATTGATTTTCACTCCATCAGAGGACGCAAGATGGGCCCATTCCATCATCTTGACCTTGTCCTGCAACTCAACCCTCAGTTAACCATCTCCCAGGCCCATCGCATTGAACAACTCGTCCGTCACACAATCAAGACGGAATGCAAGCTTATTCAGGAAGTTCTTGTTCATCTTGACGCAGAAAAACAACCACCTCACCACTAAACACGACATAACACAAGATACACCACATATATACACCACATATATACAATACAATACAATACATTCACTCTCTTACTCACTCGTATATACACACCAAAAATATAAAATAAAAATAAAATAAAAATTATACGTACATAGATAGATACATTTAAATGTAAATGTAGATATATTTATATTTATATATTTATTTGAATGATTTCGGGATATTGCCTGATTTGACTATTCCGGTAAACTTGTTTCTTGTTTGTGTTTGTGCTAGTTTTTTTTTGAAGCTAAAAAAGGGGAAAAATATTCAAGTGATAATCAGTCATGTTTAATGGTAATACTGATATTAAACTGATACTAGTACTAATAAGATAAGGCAAAATTGGGTCTAGATGTGTTGCCAAAAAGGCTTTGATTTATCAGGCATAGACTTTTGGATTCAATAGGATAATAATGAAAATCAAAAACAAACAAACAAACAAACAAACAAATGAATGAATGAATGAATGAATTGATGTATATGTTTGCTTATGTAAGAGAAATAAGGGGTTGAGGCAATGTGAGAATATAAAGATAAAGATATAGAGAGAAAAGGGATAGGATAGGGTGGGCTTCTTTAAATATCATTCTTGTACACATTTATGATACAGACCGACCAAGGATTGCATTATTATTTATTTTATTAGTTTTTACATATACGAGACAAAGTAGTATGTGTATAGAATTGATAGTTGAAATGATGATGATGATGATGATTATTATTATTATTAATAGAAGTAAATGGTTTATATACAGGTTAAATTGAGAAAAAGGTACAATTTTGCTATCAAAGATATAAGATATATATGTATTTAAAAAAAGGGAGGATTATGATGATGGCGATTATAATTATGACTATGATGATGGTAATGGTTATTAAATAGAATAAATAAATAATTAAGTAGATTGTTTGTGCAAAAGCATTATGATTTGCTTTGCTTTTTTGTATGTATATATGTATATATGTATATATGTATAAAGAAGTTGGGTTTTTTAGGCCATTGGAAGACCATCAAGACGTGTTCGAAGGTGTGAGAGTGATTTCGACCATCTGGCATTGAGTTGTGCAGAGGTTACAGAGTCTAGTAGGCTCGTGAGCTGTTGATAATGACCAAGACATATTTCGACTGCTTCCTGTGCTGCCAAAAGATCACCACGGTAATAAATCGATCCGCGTGACTCTACCGCATAACCCATCTAAAATAGAAACAAACCAAAAATCAGTAAATATAAATCCAAATCCAAATATATATTTATATTTACCTCGTCTTCAGCAAGAGTGTGATATTCTTTGAATTCTGTATATAGCCGTGATAGTTGCTCTTGTTCAGCAACAGTATATTGTGTTTGCATTTGTGTTTGTGCCTGTGCCTGTGAACGTGAACGTGAACGTGTTTCTTCTGAAGCAGATGAGGATCGACGACGGATACGTGGAAACCATCGAGAGGGTGTGAATGTATTTGAGGCTGATATTGACTGGTGGCATCCGCAAGTGCAGCTAGTTGTTGAATGTGATTTATCGATTCCAAAGAACCGTGCTGAGAAGGATATGATTGAAGGCATTTGTTTGTTGGTGTTGCTTGTTAGGAATAATGTCAAATAAGTAAGAATAAATAATATGTGCGTCCAGTTAAGCAAATAAAGTAAAGTATAGAGGAAAGAAAAGGCACAGCAAAAATCAAGAAGCGATTGGGTTTGCTTTATAAGAAAAAAAAATTATTATGTATTTGTGTATCTGTCTGGCTGGCTTTTTTTTTTTTTTTTTTTATGGCTTGTCAGCTGAAAGCCCTGTTTGAATCTTCATTTCACCATTCCTTTGTTACACCTTCCCCTTTGAGATTTATTTTAATTTTTATAATACAAAAATAAATAAAAATCAGATTTCTTTATGAATCTCAACCCCCCTTATTATTATTATTATTATTATTTAAGAAACCCCCCCCCTCTCTCTCTCTCTCTCTCTCTCTCACTCACTCGCTCACTCACTGTCTGTCTGTCTGTCTGTCTGTCTAATTCTCTAGCCCCCTTCTTTTAATTTCCTTATTATCATTTACAGTAATAGCAACATTATCAAAATAAAATAAAATATATATATAAAGTACAATTCACACACTGTTTGTTTGTACTTGCAACCAAAATTAAGCTTATTTGACTACAAATCTATCGACCAAAAAAAATAATACATAAATAAATAAACAAAATCAACTATCTTGTGTGTTTCTGGATCAGCACAAATTATCTTGAATTGGAGATCGACACGAATCAATCTTATTAAATCTAGCCTTGTTTCAGCCTTTATTCTACCATTGCATACATGTATACATGTATACATATATACATATATACATATACACATTTTGCCTTTAAGACTTGATTAATTGATTAATTAATTAATCAATTAATCAAGTATTTACTTACTTATTTGTGTGTATAAAATTATCTGTTTCAAAAACGAAACACTTTGCTGGTTTGTTTAATACATTAAATACCTTACCATCTTTTTAATATATATACAATGGGAAATACTTGGATTACTACGCCTCATTTTGTACTCGCATATTATATTATACGAGTGTAAGACTAATAATGATTAAATATCTTGCAAGCCACAATGAGCACAAAAATCTAAACCGTTTGGCTGCGGTAATAAAGTGTGTGTTCACAAGACAGATAGATAGATTTTTGTATATATATAGATATAATTGTTTCACCAGTAAAGTTACATGGCATTGACGCATTGGTACACCAGAAAAAAAAAGCCAGCCTTAATTGAAGAGCGTTTTTGTTTTTGGTAACAATATATATATATATATATATATATATATACATCAAAATAAAATTCAGAGCATAAACATTGATCTATTGATTAAACTAACTTACTCGATCTATGGTCAACCTTGTTTCTATATTATATAAAAGAGAATAGAAGATGAAGAATAAGGTATATAAGTTTTTTTAAGAAAAATGGGGTGGTGGTAATTATGGTTATGCTTATGATTGTGCTTATGGCTATACGTGTGGTGGTCTATATCTATATTTTATCTTGTGACTAAAATCATAGCCAAGCTTACACGAAGGAAGAGCTGTGTATAGATATAGGAATTGATAATTCAATTGCCAAGAAGCCATCAAAGCCACTTCTTTAATAATAATCAATTAATAAATAAATAAATAAGTGAGTGAGTGAATATACCATACTACTATTATTAGCATTATCACCCATAATTTTTGCTCATAATTTTGATCTTTATTTCATTTCAATTTATACTTCCTTTACTTCTTTACTTTCTTTCTTCTTTATTTTATTTTGTTATTATTTTTACGTTTTATCAGTTTTATAATTTTCATGTGATTTCTTTCTTGTTTCATTGATTTATATTTCACCCCCCCCCCCCCCCCACATCGACAACAATAACGACAACAAAACCAAAATCAATAATCTTTGGTTTCGTAATTATTTTGTACAAGAAAAATGAAGCTTGTAACGAACAAGTTTCGTCGGACATCAAACACTATAAATACGTCACTATGGATACTGCGGATACGTTGCTACACGGCAACAAACTCTGTATTACAGTTGGATTGTAGATTATTCCCGATGTGCAAATAGACCGTTTCCGTCGCGGACCTTTGAGGCTATGGATCCGGCCTGACTGCCATGGCGGGTTTTTTTTCCCTCCTCTTTATATCTATCCATTACTTTGAGGGTAAGCACGATAGATCAATAAGTCAATTCAGCCAACCAGTCAGTCAGTCAGTCAGTCAGTCATTCAATCGATCAATCAATCAATCAATCAATCAATCAATCAATCAATATATAAAAAGATAGATTGATTGATTGATCAAATCTACCAAATCCTATCATATCCAACCATATCCAATCCATATTCAACTCACATTCGATCAACATTCAAAATTCAAAAAAAAATTCATTCGACATCAAATACTATTACAAAACTATTCCTTTTATTACCATATATCATTGCTCGTCTATCATTGATATATACTTATATAAAGTCGTGCACACACATATATACACACACACACACATACATACATACATACATACATACATACACGTACACACAAAACGCACGGACATGCAGACACACTTGAAACGCATGCACACTACACAAACATACACAAACATTGGACAAATTGATACGTTCGAACGAGTAAATTGACATTGAAGAAAACAAATCCATCCTTTTTTTGGATTCAAGTAAACGACAACATCAACCTTCACAACGATGACTAACGACTGCATCAACCATAAGCAAATCAGCTACACAACATTATCATCAGCAACAACAACTACGACAACGACAACAAAAAAGAAAGAAAAGAGGGAGAGAGAGAGAGAGAAAGTTTGTAATTGAGTATATGTGTTTATGCTTGTATATATGCTTTCGTACTTGTCTTCTCTCTCTCTCTTTCTTTTAACTTGTATGTGTGTGAGTGTGAGTGTGAGTGTAAGTGTGGCTATGGTTATACACACGTACGCTTTTTTAAAGATGTACATTGTTGATACACAATACGGCATTGTATTTAATATTGGTCGAATGGAATTTTGGAAATTTTTGGATAAACCCTCCCTTTCTTATTTTTCTTTTTGTTTTCGTTTTGTATACAATCTCATCAACTACATAATATATACTTAATTTGTATAATATTTCCAACAACCTCCGCGACAAAAGAACAATATAATCAATTGATGAATGGAATTGAATTGAATTGAATGGAATGAATTAATGAATTATTTTATTTTAATAGTAAATAATGGTTACTCCTGCCGTTAAGCACACCATCGTGAAGAAGCGTACTGCTACTTTCAAGCGCCACCAGTCCAACCGCTTTATGCGTGTTGGTGAGTCGTGGAGAAAGCCCAAGGGTATTGATAACTGCATGCGCAGACGCTTCAAGGGTAGCTCTCCCATGCCCAAGATCGGCTATGGTTCGGCCAAGAAGACCCGCAACTTGTTGCCCAACGGCTTCCGCAAGTTCACCGTCTCCAATGTCCGTGAGCTCAGCCTTTTGTTGATGCACAACCGCACCTACGCTGCCGAGATTGCCCACAACGTCTCTTCCAAGAAGCGTGTTGCCATCATTGAGCGTGCCGCCCAGTTGAACGTCAAGGTTATCAATGCTGGTGCTCGTCTCAGATCCCAGGAGTAAAATAAAAATGGATAAATAAAAAGGTGTATATATGTATATATCTTTGTCTTTATTTATTTATCTATTTACTTTATGAAAACACACTAACAAACAAACAAACATATTGGTTTGTTTCATGTATTGTTTTGGTTTATTGTGTAATGGGTACATCAGTACAAGTGCAAGTGCAAGCCAAAGGAAAGAAGGAAATGAACACAAGAAAAGGGTTATAAGATAGCTATAGTTAAATTACTGTGTTTGTGTGTAGAAAATGGTGATTTGTATAAAAGATAATTATAAGAAAAGTATTAGAGTGTACTAGAGAGTAAGAAGTAATAAAGGATTATAGAATCTTGAAATGATCCAAAGGATTCTAAAGGCCATGATGAATTTGGTGCCAATTATTGTTATTATTATTCCAATTATGAAATCATTGGAAATTTATTAGAAAATATACTTGATTGTTGGGTAACTGTGTTCTTGTGTAGTGGACAGTTTTAATCTAGAATAGAAATATTGGTAATCAATACATTACACAAATAAAAGAAAAGAAAAGAAAAATTAGCAAGTAAAACTAATAAGATCAAGACTAAACCTAATAATATAAAGGTTTGTATGATGACGACGCCCATTGTGATGATGATGATGATTATTGTTGTTGTTTTTGCTGCTGCTGCTGCTGCTGCTGCTGCTTATTAATGATAACAATAACAATAATCTCCTGTTAAACCTCCCCTTTTTTTCATTTTCAATTTAAATTTCCTTGGCCTTTTCCCTTTTTCTCTTTCACATACAAATCTTAATGATATATGTACTGTAACCATAATAATTATGATAGTCATACGGCGTATATTCTATCATTATTTGAAATATTAAATATCCTAGAATCCTTTTCTCCATTGTTATTACAAGCGTAATGATATTTTGTGTGTAATGTCAATTATTCTCACAAGATCTTTTATATATATTTGTTGTAACTTAATAATGGCCATAAAACACCCAACAATAAGAATCTGGTTTACTAAAACATAACTCTGTATATATTATACTATCATTCACCCATTGAATTAGATAGTTTATCAATTAATCACTCAAAGATATATAGTGACAAATTCTATTTGATACATAGTAGATATATAAAGGAGGGGGCAGATAAAAGGTAAGTTGAGTGCAAGTAGGTTTTGATATACTCACTCACTCACTCACTCACTCACATAAGCACCAATAATACATACAAGAATGCACGCAAACATACTAAATTTACTATATATTATATATACACACACACAGAGGATATAGAGAAAGATAAATAAAATATCTTGAAAGCCCTGATATTAAGAGAATCACAGGCTTTACAAAAAATAAATGTGTATGTAGGTGTGTATAATTTGTAATAATAGTAATAACAAAGGCCAACTTGTGTATGTGTATGTATGTCTGACTGTCTGATTGTCTGACTGCCTGCGTGTGCCTGTTTGTGTGCAGTGCAAGTGCAAGTGCAACTAAAAGTGCAAATTCAAATTCAAATGCAAGTGTGCAGATGCGTTCTCTCTTTTGTTTGTTTTGCTGTTGTTGCTGTCGTTGGTAATTGTGGTGTTATCGGTTGATGTGGACGCGAATGTGTTTGTGGGTTGTGAGGGATGTACATTGGAAAGATATAAAGACAAAATATATAAAAAAAAATAAAAAACAGATAGATAGATAGATATATAGATAGATAGATAGACAGATAGATAGATAAAGACATACACACACACACACACACACTTACACTCATATACAAATATAGAGGGGAGGGGGGGGGGAAAGAATAAAGATAATGGGTGAGTTGGAGGGTGTTAATTATAAGTGATTCAGTAGGTTGATTGTGCGTAGGTGGTGTATTGCATTGCATTGTATTGTATTGTATTGTATTGTATGTATATATGTATGTATGTGGTCGTGGTTGTAGGTTGTAGGTGCAGCTGTGGTTATGAGTGTGGGTGTGAGTTGAAGAAAGAAGGGAGGTTCTTATCACAGCACATGATCTTCAAGACCATTCGATTCTTCATGAACACTCGTCAATTCATCTACGTATTTTTAAGAGAGGGATTACAAGTATAGAAAAGTATAAGTTACATAGATACATAGATAGATGTGTGTTAAATATGCAATGCAGTGTAAATGTGATGTAACGAACAATAAATAAAGACTTACGGGAATTGGAGTTCAGAGATGTTACTGGGTGGGTATTGTCTGTGAGGGTTGTAGTCAACCTTAAAGAGCTTCCAAAATTCCCAATATCTAATGCATATATATATATTTCAACTCATTCTGTTAATTTACTTTGTACTTTGTATATAGACACTTAAAATAATCATATAATATATAATAATTTCCAACAAACCTCCTATTTCTGTCAAAGGCACCTCTTGCTCTATTACATCTGGTTTTACTGGTCTGTCCTTTTTAAGCATTTCCAAGACCTATATATAATATATAATACATATTTAGTCATTGTTCAATATCGATACCTATATAAATATATATTACCTCACTGGCTTCTATGGCAACACTATCATCAAGATCAGCATAACTTCTACACAATGGGCATTGGAAACCCGGGTGGTTGGACAGCAATGGGCGGACACATTTGTAGTGGAAGGTGTGAGAACAAGGAGCGACAAATAGAGCCTGGAGGGGCGCGATTGCATAGAGGCAGATGCAGCACTCGTCAATGTGTGTATTTGAAGCGTCACCATCTCCGAATCCCATGGCGGCATCAAGCACGCTCACGTTGTTGGGTGGCGTTGTAAGATTGCGCAGAGTTTGAAATGTATTGAGACTTTATATAACAATAATAAATACCGCACACACACACATACACACATATATATATAAGGGGAAGGAGAAGGAGAAGGAGGATATAAAGATATATAAAGAAAGAGGGGGTAGACAGACAGATACATAGAGAAAACAAAGGCAGAAAGTTAATAGACAGATTTTGTGCAGTGCAGTGACACGACAGGTATCAGAAATAAGGTCTTTTTTTTTTAAAAAAAAAAAAGGAAAAATAACCACATTATCCCCATCTCCTTTAACTTGATACCTTTATATATTTATATATTTATATATTTACCTGTAGGCGTTTCTCTTCTGTTGCTTGTTACGGTTCAATTCTACTCGCATTTTGACGCAGCGATAGATCTCTATTGTATATAGAGATAGCCAGAAATTTGTTAACAGCTAATAATAATAATAATAATAATAATAACACTAAATCCAGCAGAAGAGCAAGAACAACTATAGTTGTATACATATTGTTTATGTAATGTATGTAATGTATCTGTACCTTCTGCACCACCCTGGTAGTCAACACCAAGCTGAACTACATCACCGTCACTCAACTGGAAGGCCCGTGATTCTTGGTTAGGTGGACTGAGTCGAGCTTGGTTCAAGAATGTGCCAGACGAAGACTTTGTGTCGCGAATGTAAAACTACCGTCACACAAGCCCTGTGAGTTTTCTTTTCTTTTTTTTTTCACTTGCCACATTTGTGTTGTAAACACCCATACCCACACCCACACCCACACCCACACCCATACCCATACCCAACTCATTCACTCATAACCACATATTCATATTTGTACCCCCACACAGTAACAATAACAATAACAATAACAATAACAATATTTATATCATATTATGTGTATATAGTTACCTTATTATTGTCTGACCATATCTCAGCATGACCTCGACTGACTACCTTGCTTTTGAAAGTAATTCGGGTTTGTGAAATGTACTTGTCTGTAAAACGACCAATCTTCAAAACCGTCCCGTTTGCTACGTCTCTCTCAATCACACCAAACACAAGGGATCTTGGAGAGTTTAGGTGTGGTACAAGACGAATGCTTGGCGGAGAGACATCTTTTGAGCCATTGTCGCTGTTACTGTTGCTGCCGTTGGTGCTGCGAGTACTGGATTCAGTGTGATGAGAATTGGCATTCGAGTCTGTAGATGGAATAAGACGCGAGGCTGTAACGGTAGACAGGGCAGCTGTAAGCATTTGTTGTTATATTATGGCTGTGAGGTGTGGTTTGTTCAGAGAATAGATAGATAAATAGGTAGTATGGCTTGTGTTTCTTTCTTTGCCTTGAACAGCAGCAGCAATAAAGAGTAAATGAAATATAAAAATGAGACTACGGTCAAGTGTTTGATATCGACGGTGTATTCAGTACGGTAAGACAGTCAAAAGAAAACAAAAGTATGTATGTAGGTATGTAGGTATGTAGGTATTTATGTATGTAAGAGATAAGAAGGTAAAGGCAAAAGGCAAAAGGCAAAAGGTAGAAGAAGCAGAAGAAGAAGAAGAAGTGGGGAAGAATTAAACAAACAAAAAAAAAAGAAAAGAGGAATTGAGATTAAAGAGAGTGGAAATTCAATAGTGAATTTGAGCTTGTATTTTTTTTTTTAATTTTTTTTTAAAAATAACTTTTTTATTATATATTTTTTATACTATATTATATATGTTTCTCATTTTCATATTATTTATTTTATTTTAAAAGTGTTGCTGCAGCTCAAAGGCTACAATTGGTCTGTTCTTTTATATGTCTATCTATCTATCTTTATATACATACATATATAAATAACTGTAGTGTGTAGTGTGAGTACCTATTTTATCTATGTATGAAAAGTAGATAGAATGTTTACCCCTCCCCCTCCCAACTCCTTCTATTATTATTATTCATATCTCTCCTCTCTTTCACACACACACACACATGTAAATGAGCTCAACTTCATTCTAACAATAGGGTAACTTTCCTTAAAAAGCTCTTTTTTTTTCTCTCTCTCTCTCTCTCTATATATATATATATATTATTTATTTATTTATTTATGTAACCATGACAACCTGTTTCAATAAGGCTCTTCAAAGATTAAACTCACTTTTTGGTTCAATATGTAAGTAAAAAATTAAAAAGCATTATTCTTTATAAATGTATAGAAATTCAATTCTATTTTATTCTATTTTATTCTATGGTATTGTATCCAATTATATTGCGTATTCTGATTTTGCTACTTTTCGAATATATATATATCTATATTGGTGGAGTTCACTGTGGACACCAACCAAAAGTGTAGATTCAAAAGAAACTAAAAAAAAAGAAAAAAGAAAGCGAGCTTGTCCGTGCTGACTTGTATTTGGATTATTTTTATTTGACTCGCCGTGTAACCATAGATCCTGTCCATTGTACTTATTCAAGGGTTCCTTTACAACAACAACAAAATAATAATAGTAGTAGTAGTAGTAGTAGTAGTAGTATTAGCTTGACAATGGACATACTTGAACAACATTTGTATAGAGATTTTTTTGATTGTATTTATGATTTTGAATATAGATAAATTCTTAATTTTCATTTTTTAAAAAAAAAAAAAAAAAAAACAAAAAAGAAGATTACTTATGAACTTTATTATTTATTTCTTTCTTGAAACATGGATTTATGTACAAATCGTATTCCTAATACAGACAATTGGTCAACAAAACCTCTATCTTGACAATGATCACTACAAAACAGAAAACTAGATCTACTTACCCACATTTCTTTATAGGTGTGTATAATTGAGTACCTTTCTTTAAATTATTTGTATTTATCATGTACAAAAGTAAGAATGAAACATGATATATATATATTGTGTGTGTGGCTGGTAAATTGGTCTTTTCTTTCGTTCGTAGAGTAAAATTTTACCAGTCGTGCTGCTTCCCAAATATGAGGATTTTAAGAAAAATAATAATGGTCAGGGCGTAGAGGAGGGAGCTTTTACACAAAATATTTTACTAGTCGGAAGCCAGCGTTTCCTGTTAGGGTATAACGCTTTGAAGTGGCATGTTATATAGCCATTTTATCACAATCTAAACTAGTAACGTAAAATCGTATGTATAAAAATATTTAGTTAAAGCCAGTAGTCCGTATTGCATTAGAGAGCGTGTGGACTTGTAACAATCTGGCTGTAATACCATCGAGTTAATGAACCGAGTTAGAAGTGGAATAATGGTCCGGGTTATTAACAAGTCTCAATTTTTGTCTTCTTGCTAAACTTGGTTCACACCACGGTTCACTACTATAGGGGGTGTACTCAACAGTATTGACAAACGTGTCTAGAGATGTCAAAACCTCTAGCTTCACTATCGATTCTCACTTTAATCAACTGTTTGCTATGTCTAGTATACTTGTTTTGGCTTTTACAAAACCAGTATAACTTCTAGAACTTTCATGCTGGCATATTCCCCTTTCTTTAAGCCTTTTGCGTTCAATGCACCCCAATGTAATCCGAAACTACCTCCAATGTACTTTCGTCTCTTGCCTTCTTTCTAAGACTATACCAACAATAAAACATTACTCTGATTAAACACTTGATAAAGATCAGCTCAAGATCGAGCTGCTTCAGTGGCTCGTATCGCTAAAACAAGTGAAAAGGTTGTGATCTGCGATTGTTGCATTGATCCCATATCTGTATTGATGTGTCTTTGGATAAGCTCCGCTTGTACTTCTTATAATCACAAGTTCTGCCGTTCTTCATTATTGTTTGTATTCATGGCTCTGTTGACGCTATCTTTATCTCTGTCTCTGTTTGGTTTAGTGGTATGCATAAGCTTAACTATACTATGACAAATTATTTGCTTCTAACAGCTCATTAATCGGTACACATAACCTTCATAATTTAATCAACCAAAGATTTTCTCTCTCTCTCTCGGATCCTAATTGCCTAAACTAGCTCCTTTTTAAAACTCAATTTTCATTGTTATCACAACACAATTCCACGGTGAGAACACTGCCCGAGATATAGTTGACAACGGGCCATATTTACCCGTTTGTGTATGGCTTATTGTCATATAAAATCAACAAACATACTCTACTGTTCAAATATCATCCCTGTCGAAAACACCGGCAGTAAATATGGTTCTGACAGCAAGGTAGAGATCTACTCGCCAGGGTTATCGATACAATTTTACGAACGCGTATGGCGAAATAGATCCAAAGTCTAAATTGTCCCCAGCACCGATTTTAAGCAATTTTTTCTTACCGCTCGGGTGTACTCACAACGAATGCCGTAAACATGTTCAGTCTTAAATAAGCAGTTTCGTTCCAAGTCGTTGGTAGTAATATTACCATGTAGTCTGTTTTGTTTTTTTTGTCATGGCACCATCGAATCATTAGCTATAGATATTCATTGAATTGACTCGATTCCAGATACCCGCAAAAAAAAGACCTTTTAAATTTAATTGGGTATTTGAATAATTTGACATTAGTGCTATCTGTTTATAATAATCTCTTTGTGTCAGTATATTAGAGCCTTGAAAGGCTCTTACTGCGAGACTTCTTCCATTGTATACTACTTTAAAGGTTACAAAGAGAAACTAGTGTCGAAGAATAATCTTGCGCATTCTTTTTTTCTTACGGTGTATACAAATGAGAGAGAAATTAGTGCTTAATTAAGATTCCACTATAAAACACACTTTGAAGCCTAGAAAACTTGCAACAATCTCACTAAATTCCGCTTTCTTCTTCTATAGTGTAGCCATTTGCTTCCTCAAATTCATACTTAAATCCAAGGGATTGTAAGATCGCTAATATTGGGGAGACGACATTTTCAGGATGGGGCACGATGTTTCTATCTAACTGGACTCATTAATTGCGACTACCTGTCCGAGACCCGGTATCTTTAACCCTTCAGGGTAAAATAGTGTGTCCTGAAAATATGTCTTTCGTTCCTGCCAATGTAGTTGTTTCTGTGAACACATTCCTTCAATTTCTCTTTTAATCCTCCAATCTCCTTGACTAGCTCTTTAACTCTTATACTTTTTCTACTGTCTAACTTCTACTTTTTCTCGTATTGCTCCTTCTCTTTGTTTCTTCTTTTAATTCTGTTTCCTTCCTATCTCTGTAATTTTGCCTTTTCCTACTACCTCTGTACGTATCAGCTTACTACCTTGTCCCCACACTTTGTGTGTTTATCTATCTATCCCCAGGCACCCAACTCTAATTCTTGTAAGATTTACGGCCTGTATTTGGGCAACTTCATAATAAAGTACTGTCTCATGCAAAAATCAAATCCTGTATAATCAATTAGTAGTCCTGAACTTAGACTTGACAATAAAGGAATAATGATTAGTCACAAATACACTATATCAATAGCCAGTTATGTAGAACAGTATGAGCTGCTGTCATCAAAGTGTGACGCAATCTTATTGGATATTCTACTATTTATTGGCCTTCTTATGCGTATCATGTCTTTCTCTTTCTTTTATCTACTTATATCCCCAGAGTATAACAGCACCAAATGGTAAGCAATCCCCATCCACTCTTTTTTCAAAGAACAAAAGAATGTCTTTATACGAATATTATGTATCTTTAGGAACCAGATAGAGGTATTCCATGCCTGCAAAAATGTCACAGTTTGTAGTCCAGTAGAATCAAAATGTCGTCTCCCGCCAAGAAACGTCGTCCCCCTAGAATCAGCGATTACATATTTAAAAGGATGCTTTTACACTTAGCCGAAGCTATTATCCTGCCTTATATTAATGTATTTTTATTATGATAAGTATGAATCCTCAGGGACCAGATATAAGTATTTGATACCAAACAGCAAGACACTATTTGTTGTCTGGTAAAAGCAAAACATCGTTTCCCGTCAGAAAAGGTAGTGCTCCATCAGAAAATGTCGTCCCCCTAATATTAGCGTTTTATATTTAAATGGATTAGGAATTTCAGGACACATCGTTTTGCTCGGAAGGATTGGAGAAAAAACATCGGACTTCGGACAAGGAGTCACAAAAAATTAGTCCGGCAAAAAAAAAGGTAGTGCCCCATCCTGAAAATGTCGTCCCCGTAAGATTGTTGATTCCGGGTCAGTTTGCTGCCACTTTGGACCCAATCGTACCGTTACTGATTTTTTTTCCTCGCTACTCCTTTCCACTGGCTGGAATTGCGCCTGTTTAAGGGAGAGATTACGCTGAGTTGTCATGAAATTGTAAACTGTACTACGAGAAACACTGAGATCTACAAAATTTTGTTTCAAATTTTCTACCACTTCAGTTACAACACCAGATGGATTGTCATCAATGTAATTTAAAAGAAATTTCTTATGTTCCTCCCCAAGGGTACGACGTCGACCTGATTTTTTCTTTTTCTCGAAAATGTTTTCAGGGTCTTTGTAATAATGTTTGACCCAACGCTGGGCTGCACGAACATGAATACCCAATTGTCTTGCAGCTGCAGCAGCACTTAAGCACTCAGTAAAAAAATGAATGAAAAAATCTAGTTTTCTCGTCATCAGAGTAAAATGTATATCGTCGCGTATTGAATAACTCCATAGCAACATCTTCATTATGCCTTTCAGCTGCAACTGGGACCATTGGATGAATAAATCTTTCTAGAGATTTATTCATTAGAAATTGAGTATGAGAACTTATTGTTTCGATAGCAAATAGCTCTTCGTCAGCAACAAGATCCATGGGCTCAGCTTCATTCTCATCAACAACACGTCCTTGTCCATCCTCGTAACAGAAATTGCACACTCATTTTAAATGTCTGTAAAATAAACTGTAAATTGAAAAGAGAAAAAAAAAAGAAACAAAAAATCTTGCACGACATCAAACTCAAAACCAGCGACTTTTCTTTCTGAAATGACTGTAAATAAAATAAAATGAAAGGGCCTTAATTTATACTTTCTTTTTTGGTTTATCAACTCAGCCTACAAATCAACTCCGTGTGGATAAAGAGAAAAGAAAAAAAAAAGAGTACACAACAGGGATACACATGTATCTTTATCTTTATCTTTAAATACATACATACATACGTACATTTTGACTATTAATTTCTTTCTTTCTTTCTTTCTTTCTTCTTTTTCTTGCGATTCTCTTAACCATGAAATGGCAGAAAATACGTGCAAATCAAAGAAAGACAGTCCTGGCATTCATGTTGCTTGTGTACACAGCCCTCTCACATGCAGCAATGACAAGTTCGACTGTTAATTCTTCACTCTATCTTGAACCGGACGCATTTCCGACCTACCGCATTGGAATTCTATATCCTGATGTCACAAAACTCTTACCAGCCGACGTATCACTCCGGAATATGATAGTTGCAAGCGAAACAGCCGTCCATATGCTGGTAGATAAAGTCAAGGCAGACAATCGATATCCAGGTAACATAATATATTGAACTATTGAATTATTGAACTATTTGCTTGCTATACAAAATCTAATATATAGATATATATATTTATCAAATTTGAAATGTTCTTTTTTCTTAAAAAAATAAAAATAAAAAAAAATCACTCCGCCGTTTATGAATATTACTGCTATAATCATTATCTTATATATATAATAGATTTCAATATAACTATTGTACGATACTATTCTGACGCTTACAATCAAGGAAAATCATCCTGGGAAGCAACCGGGATGATCGAAGATGGAATAGAGTATGTGTTACTATCGTTACTAGTACTATCATTAAATACTCTAAATCAACAACCACTGTCAAAGAAATAATAATAATAATAATGATAATAATAATCTTAATATTTATTTATTTAATAATCAGTGCAGTCGTGGGAGATATTTCTTCTGGGTTGACCGAGATGTCGGCCTCCGTAACCGGTATTTGGCAGCTCCCGCAATGCTCGAGTTCTGCTGCAGAACTTTATCTTTCAGACAAGGACGCCTTCCCTTATTTCTTTCGCACCATTGTAAACAGCAATCAGTTTGGAGAGGCGACCGTGGACTGGGTTTATAATATGAACTGGACATCCTTCGCAGTTCTCTACTCAAACGATTATGTTGGACAACAAGGTCTGTTTCTGTGTCTTTTTTAATTTTGTGGCCTCTATCAATTTGGTTGGAACCTATACAATCGGTTTATTGTCTATTTTGTATTTTGGTTTCAAAAAGTAAAAAGGCCAAAAAAAAGAAAGAAAGAAACAATTCTAACACGTATTTCCCACACACACACACCGTCCTTTACATAAATATATATTTTCATAAACAAAAAAAAGCTCTTTTTAGTGTCACTGAAAGAGCAAGTGCTTTAGGGATAGATCCCTTGGTCCAGGTATCTCTTCATGATTATGAAGATTCTCATATAAGAGGTAAAGACCGACTTGCATACACATAAAACATCTTAATCTGATGAAAATATTCATTACTTAAAATAAAATAAAATAAAATAGAGTCTTTGTTAATACTTGCTGAACAACCAACAAGAATTGTTGTGTTTCCCGACCTCGATCCAAGTCACCAAGTTCCAGTTCTCAAATTGGCTCAGTAAGTATACAAAAAAGAAATAGAAACCAAAAACATAAAATAAAATAAAATAAAATAAAAAGTACGCCAAGGTTTTATCTCCAGATATAGTATGTAGTACCATCTACCACCAAAAAATAGAAGAAAAAAAAAGACTAAAAACAATCCAGATCTATGGGCCTACTATCTGAAGGATGGGCCTGGATTATAACAAATGATATCTCTGAAGAACTCAAGGCATCAACAAGTTCACCCGAGGAATATGCTTTATATGACGGCCTCATGATGATAAGCGGTTTATGGGACTGTAAGTAACACAAGAGGCAAAGCGATATTAATTCCTTGGATATTTAAGAGTCAATATGTGTGTGTGTGTCTGTGTGTGTGCGCAATTCGACATTGATCGACAATTATAATATTTATTTTTTGACAGATAGAAGTATTAATATTTTGATTTCGATTCTTGACAGTGACAGGACAACCTGCCTATGATGATCTAAAGAAACGATGGGAGAATGAGCCTGTGCCAGCTGAATTGTAAGCTTTTTTTTTGGTTGCTTATTTTCCATCTCAACTAGCCATGAAGAAGAAAAAAGGAAAGAAGAGGGAGAGAGGGACAAAGACCAAAAAAAGAATACAGTAATTGATCAAAGGATTAGCACCGAACCTAAATTGTGGAAGACCCAGGGCTTGTCGTACAATGCGCCCGAGGCTTACGCTTGTGCCGAATTATTGGTCTTGGGCATGGACAAGGTAAAGATCATAAAAACAACAACAATAGGGAAAGGAATAATGAACAAAGCTATCAGTCACTAATTATAACAAAATCAAACAAATAAATTAAAGGCACTCAATCTTTATCCAGGTGGTCGAAGTAAAGGATTATCTGATCTCAAGGCAAGAACCTTTAATTCTAGCAACATGACACCTACATTTTTCAATATGAATTATACTGGTCCAAAAGGTATTTATTTTACTTGTATAAATAATTTTATACACATGCGTAAATAGCTATATAGATAATTATATACATTTTATATAGACATTTTATAAAAAATAAATAAAAATAAATCATTTGCAAATCAGCAAAGTGTATTTAACCTGCTCTTTCCAAAAAGGGTAAAATATATGTATAATTACAAGAGATAAAATGAAAATGAAAATAATTCGTATAATAGATTTGAACTATTTGTGATTAATTAATTAAATACATAATTGTATTTGGCCCTATATTTTATTTATTCTTTGCCTATCTTTGTGTATTTTTACTTGTAGGTCTTATAGAATTTTCATCTACAGGTAAGCACACAAGCTATAGAAAATTGGATGATTTAAAGCATACATATATATGTGTGTCTGTGTGTGCATTCACTAACAATTAACTTTACTATGTATATATGGCTTTGATTCTATTAATAAAGGGGACACTACAAAAGGGTAAGTTAAAAATATATATATATAATTTTTATCTTTAAAAATCAATTATAATTAGTTGATATATATATATATATGCGTTTAAAACTAAAGGCATCTGAATTTTAGATATTTTATTCTGCAATACATAAAAAGTGGAGAGGTCCTTACATACGCAAATATCATTGCAAATGTATATGAATTGGTAAAGGGTCCACCAATGACTTTTCTGGGAAACACTCTCCATCCTCCTCGAGATTTGATGAAATACAATTGCAAGTACAACAATTTTATATACAAAAAAAATAGACTTTAGTATCAATTAACTCGGATCTTTGTATTTTATTCATCTGTAATTGTATAGCTCTGAATCCAAGTGCAGACAAAGCAATCGGTATCGTTATCCTGGCTCTGACCATGTTTGGAATCTTTTGTTGCGTTGTCATGGTGATCCTTATCGGACTCTTCCGGAACATAAAACCAATCATGGCCGCCAGTCCGTTTTTTTGTTACATCCAGTTACTTGGCCTTGCAATGTCATACCTGTCCGTTACCTTGTACATTGATATGCCAACACCCTCCAAATGTATTTCCAGAAAGTTCATTATCACCATTGCATTTGTTCTGGTCATGACAAGTATAATTGCTAAGAACTATCGGTAAGAATTCATTTAAACGCACACCCGCACACACTTGTACAAAAGTAAAACGATAATTCTCCAGTGAGATTTATTTATATCTAACTTGGTGTCTTTTATTAATACACTTCTTGTATTTCTGTATGTATGTGTGTATATATGTATGTATGTATTATATATATTTGTACTTATTATCGTCACTACAAAAGAATCTACAAAATGTAAGTCTACAATTAACACTAAATTACTAAAAGAAAACAAATAAGCTATTATACACATACACGTGCAGGTACTAACAAAAATATATCTGAATAACTATAGTTTCCAAAATGTATTCACTGTTCGGACAGCTCGTCTCAAATCACTTTACATGATGAGATTTGTGGGTACAAGTACATTGGTTATCGTCCTCCCCCTCATCGTTTGGAACTCTATGTACAAAATTGCTGTCGAAGAAATAGTAGTAGGAACCAGCGATTCCTGCTTTCTCTGCAATTATCCAACTACAACTGCAGATTGGGCTGAGATCACTATTGCCGAGCTAGTTGTACTAATTATGTGTGCTTTCTTGATAATAATATCAGCCCTTCTTGCCTACAAGGTATATATATATATATACACATACAAGGATGCTGGATAATTTAAATAATTTCATTTCAATCTTTCAAGACTCGCAGAGTACGTGGAAAATGGTCAGAATCTAATCAGATTGCATATGTGAGCTAGTAAGTCAAATGCGAAGAAACCAGTACAGTTTTTTCTATTGATGGCTTACTTCTTCTAACAAACTATAACCCTGTTTTTCTTTTAAAAAAATAGTAATGCTTGCTTGGCTGCTTGCTTGGCTACACCTAGTTTATTTCTTGGGTCTGACAATTATCTAGTCGCCATATACCTGAAACTGGCTGCAATCTTGTTCGCTTCAACATTTACTCTTATTGTTTTGTTTGCACCAAAATTGGTGGAGATCGTAAAGCATATTACCGAGAGTAGTTCACTCAACATATGGGGAAAGGCACCAAAGTCTCATAAACCCAACAACAACAATAATAACAATAGCACTAGCCGCGGGGACGGCAATATCACCACAGACGAGCAATATTCAACTGCAAGCTCCAGTGAGTTTCGGATCAACAATTTAGTTGCAAAGAACTTGTTGGACTTTGTAATGGAAGCGTATGAAGGCGTTCTCCCCGTAAAACAAGAATTGAGATTTGATTTATTTTCAATGTGGGAGCTCAAACAATTAATGGTTGTTCCACTCAAACGGTACTTTGTACTTGTTAATGTAAGCGTATATATGTGTGTGTGTGCGTTTATTTATTGACAAATTACACTGTAATATTTTATAGCAAACAGATCAAAGAGCAAGAAAATACACTTACACCTTGTGTGAGCAGATATCAGCTGGAAGAAATATTTACATATTCCGTGTGACTACCGATAAACAGCAGATCTTCTTATTCCAAGTAAACGATCAAATTGCGCTCGACAGATGGATCCAGTGGTTTAAAGGCCCTGGAGCAGACAACGGTGTGCCCTCTGCAGTGAGGATATTGAGTGAGACCAACCATAACAAGGTTGGCGGAGAAAACAATAATCCCCACCACAACCAAGAATACAATCATGATCACGACCATCACTTCAATTATCACCATAGTGATAAAGCGCTACTCAGCCAAGCTGCGGCACCCATCACGACTTTTGGATTAATGGAACCAGACGACATTCAGATGGTTCCTTCGAATTTTGTAGCCCAACGATCTTTTGGAGTTGCAAGCGCACCGAGTACCGACCTAATTGGAACATCGACCTCAGACTATTATCAGTCTTCACAGACTGGTGGTGGCAGAAACAGAGAATCTCTTTTCACAGACACAAACCCAAATTACAGCAATCCGTCATATAATCTACCGCAAGACGATATTGGAAGTTTCCAATTCCCGTCCAAACCTTCTCCTCTCTCACCATATTCAAGATCAAACTACTCTTCTCCAAATAATACTACCCCAAAGAGTGACTGGCCAAGATATGATTAGAGTAATAAAATAGAGAGAGAAGAAGAAGAAGAAAGCAGGTGTTACTTTGTTTTATATATACATTTTATACACGCATATACACGTACATATACATATAAAATATACAGGTACAGATATATTTTAATTGCCCAAAGTACACCCATACCCAACTCCATACACCCACACATTACTATTACTATTACTATTACTATTACTATTACCATTATTATTACTATTATTATTACTATTATTATTATTATTATTATTTTCTTTTGCATTTAAACACTAATTGTATTTGCATATATAGATATATGTATGATACAAATGTATATACGAGTGTATGCGTAAAAAAAGTGGTTTTCACTATTGTCTTGCTTTGCTTTATTTCGTTTGGTCCAATAACAATACCATTATTTTTTGTCAATATTTAATTGGTGGTATTTTGTATTATATCCATAATTCACCCACCCAATCTCCCAAACACATGCTTTGAGATTTATCATTATAGAACATCCCCAGGCAATCAAATAAATAAATAACATATATATATATATATATGTGTGTGTGTGTAAAGATACAAAATTTTTCAACATATCTTAAAGGCTAGTGACACTGGATTGATCGACTAGCACTCAAATGTCCCCTTCCAAACACATAGTGTCCAACACCAGCTCCCAGGACAACGGAAATCATCAGATAGCCATTATAAGTCATGAAGACCAGCATTAGCCAGAAACTGATGGCTACCAATGTGGCATAGACACTAGATCGAATTATTTCTTGACGCTTACTCAATCTAAAAATACAGTTAAGTAGATAGATATATTAATAACATTCCAAATAAACAACTTTTCTGTTGTGTTTTCGTTTCGTTTTCTTATCTTTTCTTTGTGTACCTCACAGATTCACGGATTCCTCCAACTCTCAAAGGAACTTCAGACTCGGAAGACTCCAGGTCACTTTCATGGTGGCCGACTTCCATTCTTCCACCTGCTTGTTTTTTCCACTCTGCATCAGCCCATTGTTGATCGAGAGTGCTAGACCACGATCGAAGGTACTCATAGCCAGCAGCGATAGCAAATATAATAAGGCATGATCCAAAAAGACCCAGGGGTGTACTAGTGTGCCAGGATCTAAATACAACACACACATTTTCGACTTGCCAGTTGAAAAGCATCTACAACAGCAGTAACAAAGAAGCGGCAGTTCCAGTAGCAGTAAAATAATCGATAACAGAAAACAAGTTACAGTAAGTACCTTGCTTATAATCAAAACCTATTAAAGATTAACTTGCATTCATTTGACACATTCCGGGCATGTCTCCATGACCTTGGCTGCTAGTGTGTACTTCATGTCCGGCGTGTCCCTCCATTAGTATTATGTTTGAATAATCAGAAAAAGAAAGAAGAAGAAGAGAAGAAGAAGAGCGTGTGTGTATGTGTGTCTGTAGAAAAGACGGAAGGTTTGTCCATTTTTTTTTGTGTTCCTTTAACGCGGGGTTTATTCTATTCTACACACACACACATGTACTACTACTATTATTATTATTATTATTTTGATTTCTTAGTTACTAACCAGTACTCAACTTCTTTATCTTCTAATTTTTTTTTTTTGAGAGATAAAGAGTAATTAGAGATAAATTAATCGATCGACTACAAGAAATGAAGACGTTGGATCAAGTTTATGCAATTGCTACTACATCACGGTTAATAACCATCACAATTGGTGTAATTTCCTTTCTTTTTGCTGGAAGTTATGACACCTCAGCCGAGATTCAATTATCTGCGCATGTAATTCCTCAATCATTCATCCAACGCTGTCTAACTGCATTCTTACGTTGGGATGCACTGTATTTCTTGCATATTGCCGAACATGGGTATGTCTATGAGCAAGAATACGCGTTCTTTCCTGTGATGCCAATTGCGTCACGTTTGGTGGCGAATACAGGTCGGATATACGTTATAAACTCCCATGCATAAGTATATACATGTATATACGCATGCACATGTGTGTGTGTGTGTGTGTGTGTGTGTGTGTGTGTGTGTATATACTATTACATAAATAAAATACATAATAAGAAAAGAGTTCTTAACTACAGTAACTTATAATGTTCGTGGTCACTTGCTTGTCTATTTTACTTTACTTTTATTCATTTTTTGTTGTTGTATTATATTGTATATATATATATATATTCGATCCAGTTCTGTATCCGTTTCAAAGTATGCTGGGAGGTCAGCAATACTCACTACTTTTTGGTGGAGTAATTGTTGCCAATGTCTCGTTTGTTCTTGCAGCTGGATCCCTATTCAAGTAAGACTAAGCCTATTTGATATTCTTTATATTCTTACTTTTCTGTTTTGCTTTGCTCTATTTAATTCACTTATTACTCTTAAACTATACACACATATACACACTCTCTTAATCACCAGACTGAGTCAAAGTGTATTTGGCGGTAATCAGCGGATGTCGTTTGTTTCAGCAGTTGCGTTTTGTATATCTCCTCCATCAATGTTCATGTCTTCACTTTACACCGAATCGCTCTTTGCTTATATGAGCTTCACTGGAATGTATTTGGTTCTACAGTCCCATTATATGAGTGCATCTATAATATGGGGTATTACATCTGGGTTGCGATCCAATGCAATTATATATTCTGGGTTCTTTTTCTATGATTTTGTTGTCATAAGACTTGTTCGTAAACAGGGCATAAAGGTAAAACTAAATACTAGAAATGCAGAAATATACATAGGCAAAAATAAACATATTAATAACAAAGTTTTACAATTCTTAAACAATAATAATGCTTACAATAACGCCATTTTATTCCATGTTATGTCTCATATATGTATATATATAACTATATACACAAAAGCGTTTGTGCGCTGGACTTGTGTTGGCAATTTTGTATAGTATTCCTGTCTTTTCAGGATTTGGACTATTCCAGTACTACGGATACACTCAATTCTGCACAAATGGCAACGACAGGCCTTGGTGTCATGAACGTGTACCAATTTTGTACACATTTGTTCAAAAAGAATATTGGTAAATTACACAGTTGAATATTAAAGTCTATTATACTATTTTAGATACACATTTACATTTAAATCTACCTTTACCTTTACTCACTCAAAATATAATACTAATAGCAACATTTTGGATAGGAATAATGGATTTCTAACCTACTATGAGATCAAACAAATTCCAAACTTTTTGCTCGCTACACCAATCATTACTCTCAGTGTATATGGCTTATGGACATACGCAAAAAATGATTTCAAAGGTTTTTTTACCTTGGGATTATACACCAAAGTCCAAGGTTTGATCATTGTTACTAGCAGCATTCTTTTGTACAAAGTTAACTATATTAATTATGTATTGTTTAATAGAGAGAAAAAATCTTTACACAACAAAAAAAGTAGCCGTATTCATGTATCTGTGGAGTGCGTTGCTCGTCTACACGGCCACATGTATGCACATCCAAGTCATCATTCGCTTCTTTACTTCTCTTCCGCCTCTTTATTGGTTTACTGCTCACCTGTGGATCAATGGGCTGGGCCCATCGGCATCAAAAAATTATTGGATTTCAAAGGGACTATTGTCATATTTTGTTCTCTATGGTTTAGTCGGCATAGTCTTATTCTCTACTTTTTTACCACCGGCGTAGATTACTATCATCTTAATATATATTATATTCTCTACTTCCAATTATTGTTTTTGTCTTGTCTTATTTTGTGTATATAAAATTATTAACATACGGCATTATTATTTAATACTTACTCTTATATAATAAAAAAGGCCTTTAGTAATTTAGCCTTAAATTAAGCCATTTTTATTCGGATTAATTATATTCTCTCTCATTTTATATTTTAGTTCGCCTTTATATGTATGGTGCTATCGAACTTAAGTATCTATGTTTTTGCATTTGTTTCAATTTCTTTGAAATTTTTTTATATGTAATAATCATTCAATCCCCGCTACATGTAGGCAAAAATGTGTGTTCCTAAAGCTTGGCCACTTTCTTGATCACATGATTTTCCGTTTTAGGATAAATATTTTCATGTACTGCCTATGGGAGCCATCAGGATGTTTCAACTTCTGAAAAAGTTAAACTCCGCAAATAAATCTATCAAAACACCCAAACTTTGAAGGGTATCAACTTTTGCAAAAATGAATTTAATACAAAACGCTTCAATAGAATTATAGAGAATAGTATGCTTAATAATTCTATTCAAGGATTTTTTATTAAATCCATTTTTGCAAAAGTTGATATCTTTTGAAAAATACCATTATACATAGATACTTAAGTCCGATAGCACCATATCACTATTAAATTCACATCATGAACACTTTTTTGTAATTTTCAGTAACGTCTTGGCTGTTAAACATCTAACATTTTTGTTACAACAACCATCTCAGTACAAAGAATAAGAAAATTGGGTTACTATTTATAATTAATACCATTAAAACACAGGGTATAAACGGACAAGTGGAGAAAATAGACAAAAATACATATCTAACCATGCATTTTCTTCTTCGTATTTACATACTTCTTGAAAGGGAGTTTTTTTTTAAAAAAAAAACAACTATACAGGACATTAAAATGGGCGAAATAAGTACTGTAATTCTAATGCCTTTAAATAAAGAAACAAGAGTTGCCACATAATAATAATTAGAAAAATAGTCAACAAAATAAGCCTGTATAGTATTTTATTGCTTATATATTATTCTGTAGTCTTTATATTTATCTCTATGTTATTCTAACGCAAAAAAAATACTGGAGCTAGTGATATATTTTCATATTATCTGTCACTGAAAAACATGTATATATATGGTTGCCTATGTAATACCCAATGTCCAACATATTATGCAATTCCAAAAAAAATCATATAGTAAAAGTATTGTACTCCGTATTAATTGACCATTTACATATTGAATTAGAGCAAGTAATGGCCTGTGGACCAAAATAATAATAATGACAATATTAACAGCTGTATTATTTCATTGAGAGTAAGATATATCTTGTCAAGAGGTTCTTGTAGAGAGTAGCAGAAGTGATTATGCAAATATTTAGAAATCAATCGACAATGGATGTTTCACACATATTTTATTATGTCTCTTTTACAGCTTTTAGTATATCCAATTTGGTCACTATATCTAAAGCTTGAGTGGCCATTGAATAAAAAAGAATGAAAAAAAAATGACACGGTTTTACCTGCCTATCTTATTTGCCATGAAAATAAACACAGGTGCATCACACAGCTTTTACATCTTAACGGCTGCATGATTACAATTAACAGACCTTGAACTCAACTTAAAAAAAGATTCATCCTTGTATTCGTTTTCAGTCTTTCTTTTTTTAAAAAAAAAACACACCAGTTCATAACATAGATGGAAGCAAAGTGAGGTGCAAGATACATAGATTTCTAAACCGGAAAACTGAAATAAGCATTTACTCGTCTTTAATACGCACACGCCTAAGTTTTAGCATGTATAATGGTCAAAGAACACCTCTTTTCCTTCCATTTTGGACCAATGCCTCCAGGAATCACAGAATACTTTTTCCGAGACGTACAAACATGGATAAAATTTTTAAAATCCCACTAGTAGCTATAACAGCAAAATATAAATAAAGTTTACCTCCTCGACCATAAGGATTGACAGCCATGTATCAATACACAGCATATTATACAAGCAGCTCTAATATTTTAGGGAACAATTCGCTGCAGAACTGGATCAATCATTTCCATGCGTATATGCGGATGTTGCCAGCCATATTTGCTTTCTGGTTTTGAGTCCCAAACTGAAACGCAATACTTCTCCATGATTCCAGACAGAAATCTTTAAAAGAATCGGCTCAATCAGTTATGGTGCCAACAAATACTTTCGTCCCTTGTTTTTTACTGGACAATGAATCAAACAATCCAAATCGTTAAGAGTACCACCACAATAACCTTTCAACTGGTTGGCTAATAGGCAAAAATATCAAGGAAAACACAGTACCCCAATACATGAACAATAATCGGTTTTGGTTGTGAATAAATGAATACGGTACATTGAAAGATATCATTCTGCACATACACCCGTACTCACGCAAAACAATCGGATCCAGTATATAATCAAATAACACTGGATTTATAAGTTTTTATATTTCTTACCATTTTATCATTTTTCATGAAAATGATTAAACTGCCAACACAAAGCAACTGCCGAAAAAACAAAATAATATTAGTACAGTTGCACCTAACCAAAACTCATATACCACCACAATCCTCATTGTCCACCATAATAACAACGATTTCGCTAATATTTAAAGGCAAGTAGTTATCCCTTTCTTTTATATTGCTTACTCACGCGCACAAACGGCAACTGTACCAAGAATTAATTAGATCTGTACGCAATTTCAGGCAACCCAATTTCTTTGTCATTCTTTCTTTCTTTCTAAATTCAGTGAAATAGATCTCTGTTTCCTAAAAAAGGATTAGAGAACACATAGAAACGCCTATAGAAACAAATAATTTTTGAACATCAAACAAAATACATCGACTCTTGTCCAGAGTGAAGAAACGCATGATGAAGGATACAGCTGAAGTATAGAATAACAATAATGAGAATAAAAAAATGGTTGATACCTTTGGTGTACGGGATGAGGTTAAGGTAATTTGGTCGACAATGAATGTGAATGAGAGAAAATATTTGAGAGTTATTGGATCCTCACTTTGGCCTCCATGAGGTGAATAATTGTAACCTCTTAAAATACATTACCATGGTTGTATAACTTATTTAATTTTATTACTCTTTTGCAATCGTTCAAAATTCTAACTAGACAAAGAATCAAATTGGGGAAAAGCATCGTTTAATTGTTGTGGCTCAAAATTTAAATATTATTTATTTATTTATTTATTGAGCCATGTCATACAGAGGATAAACAAATCGTCTACCTCTCTTGCGATACGTACTGTCTGTTCATACATATTTTCCCTGGGGTAGAAAAGTCCTATACTTTATCTCGTAATTTTATGGTTTTCTGGGTTTCTCCCTTTTTTAAAAAAAAACCGGTTGACTTTCTGTGGTGAAACTACCTATCCTTTAGTTCTTTACAAAACAGGTTTGACTTATTGTGCCATCACAGATACTATTCTCACTCCAAATAAATTTTCTTCACAATAAAAATTCATATTAGTTAAGGGTATTGTGTAACATTTTTTGAACCATTGTAATAACTGTGAATTATCCCAAGAAGCGTATACAATATATAAAAGACATTTATTTGTAAACAGAAACTTGCCCCACCAATAAGTTGACATTCGTTTCTGGTTTGTAGCGCACCTTTATCTTTACTCGACTTAACACGAAACGGAAGCTTTTCGTTAGTACATGTTTTCTATAATAGCAATAATTAAAGACGCTATTCTTACCATCTTTTTCTTATGAGTATTAAACCTTTACAGTAAAAGTATATTTTTCTATCAAAGTATAGACCGACAAACGAAAACCGGTGACCATCACTGCACACGCATATTCTTCTTATTGTTTACCATTTCAAATATATATATCGATTATCTCTATTTTTGCCGATATATACCACAGGGAGCCTAAAAAATATATAAAATAAAAAATCATAATAATGCGGCTTTATCATACAAAAAGAATGCGAGGAATTGATTTCTAGTTGGTACATATCAAAAGTTGCGCTTTTAACAAGTATAATATGTTTTTATAGATGTGCTTGGTAAAATACGTGTGTGCGTGCATGTGCGCATGTGTATGATTGCAGTAAAGTCAATTATAACTTTCATGGAATGTTGATGTGAACATGTATTGTTATTGAAAGAGATGCACACGGCAGAAAAATAAATAAGAGTATTATTTTTGTTTATTCTGCTTGAAAAAAAAAGTCTCCTGCCTCATTCCTCAACAGGAATCATTGCACCAATGACCGTAATAACGGTTATTTTTTCACAGCTTTTCAACCTCTCAACGAAAAACATAAAGGATATCAAATGTATATACATATACCTCTTGTAATTGAGATTATTTGAACAATCTGTCACCTTGGTTAAAGGGCAAATAAGATACTAAAAAATAAATAAAAAAATAAAAAATATCGGTTTCAGTCGGCATTTATAATATTTTTTTTTTATTTTATTTTTTGAGAAATCAATTTTATCAAAAAAATAAATTCATACAATTCTACTTTTCTCGACTTCTACTCATTGTATTTGTATGCTTTTTGGCTCTATCAATAGCTAATAAAGAAGAGTAACAGAAAAGTGGCATTAGAGGCGTATTGTCGGTCTTTAGAATTGTCTCGGAGTTTTAATCATGCTACGATTAGATGTCCGCCGGGATTTGGTATAGTGGGCAGGTTGGTAGAAAATTAAAATGAATTGAATATTGCTGTCCAAGTAGAATATAATAACTATATATATATATTAGAAGAAGAAGAAAAATTGAATTAATCTATAAACAATGCATGTCTTTGCTCACATATTCATCTATGTGATAAAATGATGTCAAAATAAAAAAAAATTGGTGTAGACAGACTAAAAGTTCAAAAAAGGTGCAAAAGAAGAACAAATTTTAAGTCATATCATTGGGCAAGAGTTTTAATTTATTTTGGTCTTTTTTTGAGCTTTTAGTCTGTCCACACCAAGTGATCAAACATTTACCTCTAATTCAGAAAAAAAATTGTGACTACTTCCATATATAATAAAAAGTAAATATTAAAAATAAAAAAAAATAATGAGAAAAATAAGAGGTAAAAATGCTATTGTCTTTAATAAATGCTTATTACAAAAAAATATAAAAGTGAAAATATTAAATGATTTTTTTTTTACTATTAACTTGGTATTTAAACTATGAAGCAATCATATCTATTGCTTTTTTGAGTTTCTATCACTTGCTTTACCTTGATTAATATAAAAGTCAGATTTTGAAAATTTTTATCTTACTTTATTTTGTTGAGAGTCGCGACTGAAAATAATATGCTTGAATAAAGCAATAACTATTATAGCTTCTTTATTTAATATATTAATCATTTTGTATGATTAGTATAAAAACATAACATTTGCCAGAACTATAAAGATAATACTAATCTATTAATTGTTCCCGCATAATGCATGGAATTATTAATCATTGAAAGATATAATCCTACTAAAATATATAATCTTTACCAATTTTTTTTAAAAAAAGTCAAAAGATTCTATCATGATATATAAACCAAAAAAAACACAAACATTTACTCTATTGAGAATTGAACGCCGGATCTAATTTGAAGTAGTAACAGCGCTTACCACTTAACCTAAATATAAGTAAGGTTAAACAAAAATAAAAAATGTATATGTCCGACACAAATGTTGGTGCTTGCAAAATATGACATGTTTACTCTATTGCTCTGTCTAATAATTTTCATGATATGTCTTTGATGTCACCGTACTTTTATAATATATATTATATTAGTAGCTAATTTAGTTGAAAAATTAAAATATTATAATAAGCCCAATATATGTTTCTTTTTTTTAAAAATATAGGTTT